ATTACATTTGATCGGAAGTACAGGAATTTTCATGGTAAATTTATTCACAAGGGTAGTATTATTCTGTTTTCTTGCTTGTACTCACATTAATGCTGGGTGCAATATTAATGGATAGGACAACAATCAGAAGTCCCACATAACATGCAGATCCCAATTTCAAGTTGCACTTCTACTTGCAGGAAGTGTAAGGAATCCCAACAGAATGCAGAAAAACAAGTGCATGAACTGGGATTCACCAGGGTAGTAAAAATGAAGCCTCTTTATTTTATGTATTACCATTAGAAAGCTGCTATATTGTGGTACATTCCAGCCTATCATGAACACTTTGAGGCCATATAAGATTCCCCAGTATTCATCATCGCTGCTCCAACATAAGGTTCCAAACAGAAATTTTTTCTGAGGACGACTTTGTCTCTTTATTAATGTACCTTGTACCCCAAGAACCATCTCCAAATGGTGGGGAAAATCCATATAGTCCCCACTTGGCAAAAAAGCCTGGACAACATCAGCTGCTAAGATAGAAATACGAGTGCAGTATGTATGAACAGAATCAGAATATCCAAATGTGAGCAGGTGTTTGCTCAAAATCTGGTAATGCTGAAAATTAAGACAACCATTAGCCACATTAAACACTAAGCAGGCAGTTACCAAAAGACCTTAGGTGGGGGAAACAAAGGAGTCAGCTTAAGATCAATTATAAAAAGCACTAAAATTCTTAACAGTGAGGAGAGCACCGGTCAAAAGTTGGTCTGACACAGAGAAGAGGCCGTCCCGGCATCTCAAGCCGTGTTGAGGCCTGAGGGAGCACCCTTCCCAGCAGCCATGAGTAGGCTGCATGCCTGCCAGTGGGCTGACAGTACAGGGTGCAACAAGCACCAGCCTCTCCTGGGGTGTCCACACCTCACCTTGTGAGGTGCTATCCCAGCAGGTGGGTGGATTAGTGCAGTGCAGGGAACAGCACCCACGCCTCCAATGAAGACGGATGTAAGTAGGGTAATGTATTCCTAGAAGGGTGGGCTCTTATAACCCAAAACTCCTGTTAAAGGGATAGAGGTGAGCATGTAACCACAAACCTGTGGAGGATTGCCGTGGAATGGTGTTTAGATATCTGAAGTTGTCTAGTAAGGTTTTGTAAGGGTCTGGTACAGTCATTTATCTGTTATATTGCTATTAATCCTGCACGTATAGTTCATGGGCTAACAGTTAATTACAAGCCATTAATAAATCAACAAACCACTTAATTCTAACTTTTGTTCAATCACATGCACTCTCTTCAGTGTATTCTACTTCACACTGATATGCAGCCTTTGGCTAAAACTTAACTGTCTCAGGTTTGGGGTTATTTTAATTCTTTTTCCTTTTCCTTCACTTGAGGGCAACCAGCTAGCTATACAGGTCACATTTGCTTCAGTACTCAGACTGATTCCAATCAAACTACTACAATAACTGTACTCCCCCAAGATAATGGCTCTGAAACCTGGACCAAAATAGATCCAAGTCTTTGAAAAGGGGATATTAAGATCTCATGTTAGACAAATGAACATTTAAAAGGCTTCACATATAAGCTAGCTTTCTTACTGTGGCTTCTTGGACAAGATGCTCTAATGAATTTAATCCACTAGGTCAGATCTTTGCATCAGGAAATTCCAATTAAACACTACACAAAAGACTGGTGTGCTCCTCCCCCCTGCAACTGACAAAGTTTAGTTTTAGCTCACTTCTAGAAAACATTGAAAAAAGTGTCGTACATATTTATTTCTAAACAGAGTAAAAAAATTAGTTACATTGAATTTTGTATGGTTCACCTCTGAATTCTGCTGATGACATTTTTATAAATTAGAGATAATCAGGAATCCTTTCCCATGTTTTAACTTCACAAATTCTCAGTCTTTTGAAAGCATAGGAGCTGCAAAATCTGATGCTTGGGTTACAAGCTGTAGGGCTTTGTTATCATCCCTGTATCTTAAGTATGACTTGCATGAAACGACATACTTTGACAGATCTCATAATCAAAGACGCTGAACAAGCAAGCTCACTGATCTGTGACTCAGACCCTCAGAACCTTTTGGAGGCTCAAAAATACTAATGTTCATTAAGTATAAATGTGCTGCTTCTAAAATTTGCTTTTCATTATTTATGGGTGCCTAACTTTTGATTAGTCAAAATAATTACCTCCCAGAAATCTTTTTCCTTTCTTCTGTAATCAAGATTAAAGCATTTTGTATTATGCATCAGGATTTTTAAAACTAAGCTTACAAGAGACATTGTCACCTTAGCAACTACTTTTTAGAAGTCACTTACTCTGCAAAATCTGATTTTTAATACGCACTTAAAAGTTTAAAATAATTTCTAGACTAGCAACTGGCAACCACATTGTTCTTCATCACATCTTCAAAAAGCCATAAAGACTTAAATCTGAAAAAGAGAATCAAAATGTAACAGTCTTACATGACAAAAACATCTGTTCATAGTAAACTAGCTCTTTGCAAAACCACTCATTCTGCCACACAAAGCAAGCAGCTAGTGGAAACCAGAGTAACACAGAATTCCAAGCAATACTACAGAAAAAAAAAAAAAGGCAATTAAAAACACATATAAAAGGCAATTATTCAAATGCAGTCAGGCAGGGAAACGAACACCTTACCTGTCAGTTGCTTGCCCCCTAATTCTATCCAGTGCTGTATTTATTACTCCCCACTTCTACTACTCCCCAGCCCTTTTTCAAGTTAACTGAATATCTACATTTTTTTTCTTCCAGGTGCTAGAAAGAAAAGCTCCCACATTTCTCCCTGTCCAGAAGGTACCTTCCCCCATTAACAACCACATTCTTACCTACTTTACTGTTTGTTTATTCCATCTGTGGAATATGGCATCAAAGAACTGGAAATCCTGCCTTTCCTCCATAACTTAACCGAGTGCTTCAAACAAGCGCAGTAAGAGCACTTCCCCAATTAACATTTACCCAGCACATTCCACCTCCTCGTTCCCTTAACACATCTGAGTCACAAGCACCAGCTCAAGTGACTGGAAATTAACCTACTAAAGCAAAAATGCACATAGTTCCAGTCATTTGACATGTAACTTCATAGAAGCCTATGTTTGGGAAAGTAGAGTTTCTCCTTCAATTAAGTGAATTTTACTAAAGACGCAGAGGATATGTAGAGAGATGCTGTGTCCTGTATTAACTCCATCGATGTACTATTAAAAAAAAAAAAAAATTAAGCTTTCAGAGACACAAGCTCTTCTTTCAGATTTAGCCTTATTTTTAAGGGTTAGGAAGGTTATCAGACCACTTAGAGCCTCTCGCCATTGTTCCAGGAGGGTTACTCTCCTTTTATAAGGAAAATCAAAGATGAACTCATTCCTCTTGAATAATTATGGATTAGGCTTGTAAGCAAAAGCAGGACAGAAGATTCCTTCCCTCCTTATGAGGACGTTTTGTACCTTCTCTGCCCATTTCTTATTTAAAGTCAAAACCTGGTAGATAAAATAAACCCCCAAATTAGGCCTTTAAATTGATCAAGTCAGCTGAAACCTGCATGAATAGGTTCTTTTTAAACAGCATTTCTGTTATTCTGAAAATTGAGTATTTACTTAAGCAGTAGGAGGTAACTTTACTATGTCTTATTCTTTGAACCATAATTCAACAATCCCTGACGGAATATGAAGGCTTCTGCCTACCTTGCCTATTTGGTCTGTGCCACACCATTCCGTCCAACTCCACCTGCTGGATAAACTTCTTACAACCAGCCTAGAGAAGCTCTCGTTTCACCAGCAGATACAACAGCTAGGTGCAACGGTGAAACTGATGGAACAGTATACCTGATTACATATTCCTCATGTTTTTCCTTTCTATCAGGACTACAGTCAAGTGAAATCTCTGGGTAGGCATTTTTATTAAACACCTTGGGTTAACGGGCCATATTTGTAATGAATATCAATTTCTGGTTTTACAGGAAAATCCATAGTTCCATGTCACAGCTAAGGAGAAAAAAGTATACTTCACGCTTTTCAGCCTCTGGTAGTAGAAAAGCAGAAAGTAATATGTAAATATAATTTTTAACTAATATTTAAATAAATTATCACCTGTAATATTTCAAATCCTACAAGCTAAAAGAACAGGTAAAAAAAAAAGCCATGGAATGCCAGAAGTGTACCAACTCCAGCGAATGCCAATTCTAAGATAACTAATTTGAAAAGTTCACCTCCATCCGAGTGCTAGGTGACTCTTCTGCTTGCTGCTCCTTTCAGTAAATTAAACCAAACCAGACACGTGCACTGCTGTTTGAGCTACAACGAAGGATTAAACATTCCTTATGGCTCACCTCTACTATTCACGTTCAGAAACATTTCTAGCTTTGAGGGGGAAGGAAGAGAACCGAATTTGAGGGCTGTAGGTGAAGGGTACCAACCTGAGATACTTTTATAACACAGAACTTACTTAACCACTTCCTTATACACAAGACAAACATTCAAATTTCAAACAGTAACTGACAGTAACTTTTTACCCACCATTTCCAAACCACAAAAGCATAATAATTTAGATCTGTGTATTCGATGGTATTTTCTCGAATAGGATGCCTTATAAATACACTTGCCACCAAGTAATAGTCTTTATTATCATCTACCATCCTTCAGGAATAATTAAAACATAATGCAGGGTGATATACACTCAAGACTTGTGATTCATACCTGGAGCAGCCTGTGATACTGAAATGCTGGAAGAGGCATCACATTTGAGAATAGTAATTTAATCAAAAGTTGGGAGAGCATGTATTCACTTTCCAGAATACTGCTCAAATATTTCTCTACAAATAAAAAATGAACACCATTTTACACAGCTGACGTTGTAGTACAGGCAGTAAAAAAACCAACCAAAATCCCTGCTGCATGCAGATTATTATAATTTCAGAATGTCGTCACAAAATAAGCACAAGTCAAGGCTATCTTCAATAAGAAGTTTTTCAGAAGCTTCAAGACAACTTATTTCTGACAAAGGACTATTTTTTCCCTCTTGAAAGAAGTCCATCAATTTTTGCCAGATCTCCAAAAGACACTGTTGCAGAACCTCTCTGGGCTGGTCTTGCCTAAGAAAAAAAAAAAAAAAGAAGAAAAGTCTATAGTGATAAGTTAAAATATTTTGTAAAAAGCTTTTAAAGAATCAGCAATTTACAAATACCTTCAAAACAGAAAATAGCTCAGCTTCACATTACCTGTGATTCATGGAATTTCCAGCCAATCATGTAGTAGATCTGAAACGTGGCAGGTACTGAGCCATCGCTATTTCC